CCCATCTGCCCTCCCTGTGGGGTGGCAGGAGACCCCGGGGTGAGTGGCGGGGGGGGTATGTGTGTGTGTGTCTGAGAAGTAACCTGCCAATCCCCCCGCCAAAGGTCACCCCAGCGCCTCCCTACCCCGCAGCAGTCTCCAGTGTGGGGCAGGGGCTCCCTGTGACCAGGACCAGGACTTGGACCAGGATTTGACCCCTGTCTGGATGATGCCAACCCTCCTGCAGCGAGAGCAAGCAAGGCAGCGCTGAAGACAACCCCATTGCATCCCAGCTCAAGAGACGCAGAGGTCGCAAACCTTCAGTTTTCCCCCCCAGGGATCACAGCGCCTGGCTCCAACCCCATGCAGCCCAATCTGATGGCACCACCGGGACCACACTGCTCATCTGAAATGCCATGGCACTTCCCACAAAAGTATGTCTCGCCCCAGTAAAACACTGTCACCCCCCTCAAGATCTCCAGTCTTGACCATCGAGGGGTCTTTGGCTGGGGCGGGGATGCCTGCTGGGGGATGCTCTCCCAGCCAGGGAGCCCTTTGTCCAGCTGGGCTCCGGGAAGGGGGAATTTCTCTGCCGAAACACAGCCCCGTGCTGCAGTTTACCATGCTGGTGAGGACCAGATGCTGGCGGGTGACCCAGTGGGTTAAGGCACGCTCCAGAGGCAACACTCACATGTGCGGTGGTACACATGACTGTGTCCCAGAAGAGCCTCCTTCCATCCCTCCCACCTCCTGGGGATCATCTTCCCCTTGCTACCACTACCCTCCTCTCCCCCTTCTGCTCAGTCATCCTCTCCTGCCTTCCCATTTAACCCCCTCAGGAGCGGTGGGAAAGGTGCTGCAGGGCGGGTTTCAGGCAGGCAAGTGATTTCTGCATTCACCCTCCTAACTGGGATGCCTTAGGACAAACTGTGGCTGCGCGGCGGGGGGAAAGAACAACAAACACCACCCCGGGGCCAGCCTTGCTGAGACAGCCCAGCCTCCATCCTCCTTTTGCAACCACAAGAATTAAATAAAAAATTAAATCTTTGTTCCAGCCCCACACAGGACATCAGCCTGTACAATCTCTGGATGAGCGCGTCAGCTGAATAGCGATCATTTGACATAATCCCTCCGCTCGGCAGTCACGTAAGGGAACAAACCCACACAGGCAGCGGCACTGGGGAGATTTTTTTCCATCTTGGGGTGCAAGATCACCACGGGATGCCGTGCACTGGAGATGGGCACCAACCAGCACCTCGGGCCATTGCATGTTGCTCCTTGGTAATGAGGGCACAAGGGCGAGAAGCGGAAACGCACTTACCGAAACTTTACGAACACATTCAGAGTCCAAGCTGTCATTTTTAAAGGTTCTAGTTTTATTTTAAACATCACGGTTGTCCGGAGGCACTGGCAGGTGCTGCAGCCCCAGC